GATTATCCGAATGCCAATCAACCGAAACGTTGATTAACTGAAAGCATTCCATTCAGACTGTGTCGTGCTGAATCAAACGTTTTTGATACTAGATCAACTTCTAACGTATAATTTTTTTTGTTTTTATATTTTTCAATATATTTATTTTGTTTGAAAAAATAAAGAAATAATTTTTAACGATACAATAGCCTCGATTATTATTTTAAAAAGTTTATATTAGGCTTAACATCAACGAAAATTCAGCGGGAAGCGACAAGCAACGGAGAAAAATTTCATCAAAGGATAGGTTAATATATTTTTTCGTACATAATCGGTTATCCGAAAAATAAGTTATCCGAACAACCTCAGTTTCCAATTGATTCGGATAAACGACGCTCTACTGTACTACTCCAAATCGTATATTAAAATATATTTAATGTTGCAAAGATGGTTTCTAATACCATTGTGTTATATGTATATAAATTCAACTGTGCTACGAATAACATAGTGTAATTATTAAGTTATAAGTTATCTTGTCAAAATTTCTTGTTAAAAGTTTATGGAATTCGATCTGTAAGATTGCATCAAAATTTCTTTGTCAACTGATTACTAAATGTATAACTTTAAAATTATACCTGTTGTATATTTAATTTTCATTAATGTAATAAGTATTGCATTCCATTCTAAATTGTTAAAACTGTAAATATGTATAAAATTATTCAACCAACCATTCGAATTCCTATTATGTAAGCAAAAATTTACTGTTTACTAATGTAACCAAAACTGTATTTATCCATTGTGTTTAATTATTATTTATTTATCCATTAATATGTTTGTATATACTTTGATGCAAAAGATACGCATCCTTCTGTTAATTGCATCTGTATGTAAAAATGTTACTGTTAATTATTTGTATTCCTCTGTAAATATTGTTTTAATAAAGGCGATGCAAGCGCCCATGGGGTCCTGTGGGGCCTTATGGTTGCTTATTTCACACTTTCCTATCTTCCTTTATTTCCTCTTCTTTCTAACTCTTACTTTCTTTTACTCTTCCTTCCTATTAGTGTTGCCGCAATAAAATTTCAAAACGTACTAAAGCGCCTTCAAAAAATGTACTATTTTCGAATAGAATAATACCATTGTGACAATGCGCGAAGCGCTTCCTATGCTTCGCACGGGACCAAACGGTCGACATCACCTCGGCGAAGACTGCAATGACAAGTTTGTTAGGACTGTCACCACTGTGTCTTTAAGGTAGACAAAGAAACCTTAAATGGCCTCAATTTCCGTCTTGTTCGCGCGAGCGGTCGCGTTTGTAAGTTGTTAGATTCGACACGAGGAGAAGGCACGAATTGTGTAAGTGCACCAAACACAAATTAAACAATAACAATTTCCGTTTACTAAGGTTATTGCTCAAAAATTAATATTTAAAGTAAGGGTTGCGTTTACGATTTAACCGATTTAACAAATTGGCGTTCTTCGTTAAGAGAGAGAGAAAGAAAGAGCTCACATATAAGTTTCTATAGATACCTAGAAAGGAATCTATCTGAAACGAATCGAAGAGCTGTTTGTATTTACTTATATGGAGTTCTCTTAGATGGAAAAAGTTCGCTTTGAAGGAGTCATTGTAAAGGAGTTCACTTTGTAAAGGAGAAGGATGTTAAGTCATTCAATACATTTCATTATGTTCGTGAGATTAAGCGGAGGTACTAACCAAGAGTACCACTTACTCGGCACAGATTAAGTGAAATCTGTTCTCGTAGTTTCGGATCGTGAGATTCGATCATTAAAACTTTTTATGGGAGGGCTATTAATATTTAAGAATGATTTGTCGTAGATCTAGACTTCACAGTCCATGTCTATGTCAGGCTCCGTTTGACACCAGTTAATCAAATTTAGATACGCGGATTAACACGCGTTTGTATATGATATGGATTTAATTGAGAGAGTTAATAAGAAACATTTCTTTAACAAATAATAAAGAAATATTTAATAAACTATAATAAACAAAATCATACAAAAATGGTAACAGAGTTAAAATTTCAAAGAAAATCGATTCAGACCACGAATAAATCAAAATATAGAAGAGATCGGGGCAAGATCGGCATGTTAAGCTTTACTTAAATTTTGTGTAATAAATACTGCTGTAAACTGAAAAAAAAGCTTTGCATATTGTCTATTGGAATGTTACCTTACTATAGAACTGGTTAAAATCAGTTTGGAAATAAAAATAATTAAAATAATTACAACTTTACAAGAAGAGAGAAATTGACGAAGTTGCCCCGGGTATAGGGGCAAGATCGGCAACTTCTCTCTTTTTGTAAAGTTGTAATTATTTTAATTATTTTTATTAAAGTTGCCCCTGGTATAGGGGCAACAGTAATGGGGCAAGATAGGCACGTATATAAAATTATGTTATTAACAATGTATAAGTTGGAATTCACTATTAAAACAAAGAAATACAAATCCAACACCCATTTAATATTATTACAACGAAATGCAAGTTCAAAGACATATATACATGAATAACAAATGCAAACATGTTTTCATTTATCATCTGTTTGATTTTTATCCTTTGCTTCTAATGTGGCTTTATGTTGCCGATCTTACCCCGCTAGTCATGATTTCGAAACATTAAGTACAACCCTGAGAACAGAATGCCAAGCCACGATCTGGCCACGTGAATAAGTTGAAGTTACATCCTTCTAACAGGAAAAGTAACTTTCGTTATCATGGAATTATAACAAAACCTGCCAATTCAATATAAATGGAAAAAAAATATTATATGGAATTCAACGAAAATGAAAATTTGCTTGATAATTCAACTACGCTTGTTGGAGAACAATAAAAACACTACACTCAACAAGCCACTAATAAAACTCAACTGCCTAACCTATAGCCAAATTCTCCTTTTAATTTGTTTTTTAAAAAAAGCGCTTGACAAACTTGCCCCGCTTGCCGAAGTTGCCCCGATCTCCCCTACGCGCCGTGAGAAAGAGAGCTGACAAATTCATGATAAACATACAACCTCTTATTAGTTGACTTTATATTCTTGATTTGTCGATTTTACTTCATTTCTCCAGTTCTCTGACTTCTGTTCATGGAGAAGTCTTGATAGGCACAATATAAAATATATCTTCCTTTCTTTTATATTAACTCATCATTATAGTTGACTCGATTGGATACGACAAAGGGCGTTGGCCTTATGGAGCAAATATGGACTACGTCGATCTCATCTGGGATCTTCTGGCGTACTCTTCGAATTCTGCCAAACTTTTTCTATATCTCTTCATTTGCGACCAATCAGCATACTGGGATTTTCGCACGTGAACGGATGAAAACGGGAATTATTGAGGGGGTCGACAATTCCCATGGTGGTGAGATTTGTGACAGATAAGTGGAAAACAAAGGATGCTTAAACTTTCGTTATAGGAAGTAACTCTTTTATCAGTTTTCCCACGTTAGAAAACCGTTATTTTCACACCCAAAATAAAAGAATATTTTTATTATTATTTTAACTTGATATTTAAATTGTTAAGTAGACCCAGGGCTATTCGAATCTCACATGTTTTTCGTATATTCCAGCGCTTATACATAATAAGAACTCGCTTCCTAGTTCTTATCACGTATGAGCTTTTATCTGTAAAATTCAGACACCTTAATTTAACAAAAGTTTAACTTCATTAAAAGATTGGTAGATAAAAGGGGGGTTACTATACTTTAACTGTAATCTTTTTTCGGTTCGAAAAATCATCATAAAATCAAAATTTTTATTTACCTTTATATTGACACGAAACACGAGAATATCCTATTTTCTTTACATATTACCGTTAACACGAATGTATATTCAAGAAACGTTCCGCGAGAACCAGTCACTTCAGCGACAGAAAGGAAAAAATCAAGAAATTCGCTGAAAAATCAATTAAATTTTGTTGTGAGGCAACAATAAAACTCTGACAATTTGTTGCGAGCGGTCGACTATTGTTATTGCGAACAGTTGGATTATTGGTTCGTGCGATTTAAAGTCATTGATTTCAAGCGTGTTTCTGTGTTTTTCATCATTTGCATTGATTTTATCGGTAAGTTCGGACTACGTAATTTATAAATTTTACGTATTTTTGAACACTGTTAAGCCGAATATCACAATTAGTTGCAATGATTTTCCGACAAAGCGCCATTTAGATGCTTTCGTTTTATCAAAATGCATACGGACTTTCTAATTTACGTATTTTTAAACATTGTTAAGCCGAATATCACAATTAGTTGCAATGATTTTCCGACAAAGCGCCATTTAGATGCTTTCGTTTTATCAAAATGCATACGGACTTTCTAATTTACGTATTTTTAAACATTGTTAAGCCGAATATCACAATTAGTTGCAATGATTTTTCGACAAAGCGCCATTTACATACCAATATATCGGTTTAGTCACAGAGACGTCGAATGGGGTTTTTCCACTTATTTTAGAAAACACATTTTACCCTTTTTATTGTTATTTTCTTTAGTCCAAATTCAATGGATTTGTTAAAGCAAAATGAGAATAAATAAATACATTAAATTTTTATCCCCGCTATGGTTTATATACACATTATATCTCATATGAAGTTCACACCGCTATACTTAGATTAATGAGAATTTCTGTATTTTCAACAATATTTTGTGTTCTTGAAATTGATAGTTTGTAGAAACCGATTTTTCAAATTATTAAAAATCGTTGGAAAGATTAAAATTACTATATTTAATAATTAAAGATAATATTCATTTGTGACTTTCAAATTTTAATTATAATTAAAACGATCGTTTTTACAATCTTATATCATAAATTTTTATTGAATTTTAAAATAAATGATTTATATATTTTTTACTTAAAATTTAGATGAAATTAAGACAATAAGAATCTTTCTTAATTAATGCAAGATCTGTTTTCACAACATTTGCTCAGTTTTCTTTGCAGAATGAATAATTTCAAAGAATTGAAGAAGAGAAATATCTCGGGCCACGCAGAGTCCGAGGATGGCGCCTCGTATTCGCGTCCAGTAATAAAGTTGCTTCCGAAAGCTGCGGAGGAGGAGTCGCATACACCCAACGTCAAACCGGTGGACGTCGTAACACCAAACGACAGCGCCTCATTCGTCCTAATTCATTATGATAAATTTGAAACTTTTCTAACATAAAGTAATATTAAAATTGGTCATAAGTTATGCAAAAATAGAATAAAAGTCTAATGTTTAATATTTCAGGCAATTACCTCTAACTTTATTTTATTAATAAAGCACTCAGCTGATGCATACAATAGGTCATTATTGTAATTCATTACACCGTAGAACGACTTATAAAATTATAAATTTAATAACTAAAAAATAATTTTAATATATTATCAAATGTTTTATCGACAACATGGTTAAATTTTTTAAACATGCAAGGTAAGTTTATGCAAATGAACCGTTGTCTTACTGTGATTAAAAGAAACTCAACTGCTTTGAATGTTTTTAAAGTAGTAATTGATACATTTTCTGACAATGGCCACTTTGGAGCAGGTTCGAGAATTCAGATCCGATAGAGGTAATAATTATCAATTTGTTCAACTATAAACGGTTTATGTATTTTTTTCCTTTATCGAATGTGTTAACATTTCTAGATAATTAAGAGATAAACGTAATGACTTGTTACCGAAGGTAAATGAGATGAGAATATCCATCGAAATATAAACATTTTTTTCAATAAAGGTGGAAACACCGTGTCTATTTGCGTGGGTTGTCGCCACCCCTCTTGGTCGGATTATTATGGAGCACACGCTTGTAGACGTTGTACAAGGTTGTTCGTGAAAGCCATTCGAGAAAGAAGGTGTTACATTTGTCGTACATATATGGGATTGTGTCTTTCTACAAATGATCCAACAAAAAGATGCAGATATTGCGATCTAGAAAGGTTATACAGACGTGGATTAAAACCGATAAGATTTGGAGTACACGACGATAGATGGTACATGCTGGATATGATTCCTTATATAAACAGTGGAGTAGTAATTGATTATGACCCTGGGGTAAGTTTTACTATAGAATCTCGTGTAAATTATAAGATACATAGAACATTTTTCTTCAGGATTAACATTAGTTAATTTGTTTAGATAACTGCTGTACACTATGAAATGGGTATTATAAATCGATTCAAGTACAACTGTTTTCAATCATATGTAAGATGGTTTGAGAGAAACCGATCTGAGAACCCTTTTATTAACGTAGAGGGATTGGTAAGTTAATCGGCCTTTTTGTATAGAATTGGCATGTTTGAAAAACTAATTAAGCTTTTTATTTTAAAAAGGAACTATTACGTTATGATTTGTTATCGAGAGGAATGATTATGGCAGCAATTCTCGAATGCATAAACATTCACGACGTGTTGAAAATCGAATTTCATTACTTTGATCCGTATGAATGCCTAATTTTGGATAACCGAACCTGGTCAATTAATATTTTATATAAGGTACGCCAATTTCTTGCGAAATGGAGAGAAAATGGCCCTAACGAATTTGATGTCTGGATGTACATAGTTTTGGTAACCATCTGTTTTCTATTGAAATATACGGTCTAACCTCGATATAGCTTCCGTGTGAACTGCTCTGCTCTCATAAAAGGCCAACGAATCCTCACGAAAGGATCTATTTAATAAACACTAAAAACAAAACTCGTCAATTTTAATTATTACTAAGTTACGTGAATTTCAAATACTGAAAGTAAAACCTGTTTAATCTTCATTACTATATTCAACTTTTCTTTGTTTATGGTGTTCAGTTTACAACCACACATAATTTAGTGCCCGTTTCAAAGCTGAACACACCGTGGAGCTAATCGACGTTTGACTGTATATTTCTTAATTATTTGATTTATTGTTTTAACAGTCGTATATTTATGTCTCTTTCTAGGGTATAGAGGGAACAATAGATTTTAATTTATAAAAATTTATCATCATTTTCTTTTTGCACAATTATTGTATAAAACTGAGAAATTCTATCTTTGGATTTATATTAAATTCTCTGACATTCGAATGAATGATTGATTTCTTACAAACGACGCTTAAAATATCTTCATAATTTTAACTGTATTTAAACAAAGATAAAATGACAAAAGGTATGAGCTTGAATATTAAGAAAAGATCAATTTAAATGTGACAAAATGTTAATTTGCAGTTTTTTGTGCTTCTCGTTACGAAATTTTAAAATATGCTTTTTGTACCGATTTTATATTGATTTTTAATAAATTTTTTTGAATAAAAAATGTACAAAGTACAATTTGTAAATGGTTTAATGAATGCCACAAAAAATAGTCTTTTCGAAAAAAATTTTCACTCTGGTTGTTTTAGTTTAAAATATTGTTACAAGAACTTATATGAATTGCGTAATAAAGAAGAAATTTCTCATTAAAATATTAATATAATGTGAATAAGATGAAACGCGGATCCTCTTGAAAGTTCATATGATGATTTTTCGTTATTATGATATCTTATTCCATATATTCCATTATCATATGAAAAAGTTATCAAGTAAAACGACACTTCTATTTATAACGTTTATGAAATTTCGCAGATAAATTACGAGGAGAGTAAGTTGTTTTGGAGAAGTCTTGCGAATAAATAATACACGGATATCAAAAACACTAAGATACATCGTATAACGGAAAAAATAAAGAAGAATATAGTGAGTAGACATAATCGAAGAAGATGGACAAGTTGTCGACTTCAAAAGAGTTTTAAATTGGACAAAATAAGGATCATGATCGAACGAAATGATTTTTAACTTCTGCAATGAAGTCTATTCCCACAGATGGCTGTGGGAATAGACTTCATTGCGTTGTCCTGGAGATCGGAATTCAGTTCGGCTTAAGTTTAAATTTTTGATGATTGGTCTGTCTCAGATGTGCCAGGCCTTTATCTGACAAGGTAGTGGTCAGGATGACCAATGAAAATTACTGATAGAAACTAATGCTAAGATTGAACCAAATTTTAGAAATACAGCATTCTGCTCTGTTTTCTTTGTTGCATTTTCATATTTATTATAGAAGCTAAAGATCAAGTAAGTAAACTGCAATATTTCCATTCTTATATCGTTGATATACAATGTTCATTCTACATCTGTTCGTTGTACAGTACTTTTATCTTTATTGCCGGAAAAGTTAAACAACTCATTGCCGAAAACGTTTTTTCGCCAAATGTAAAGATGTAAGCCGGTTCTGAAACTATTTTAAATATACTTTTTTTCTGTTTTTAAAATTCAGCCAAAAGTAAATTATAAGATGGAAATTTAAATACCTGTAATTTATAATTTGATGACATTTTATTAAGTGCTTATAAATTTTCAAAATTCTTTATTTTCATAAATTCATATTTAAAAATATTTCTGCATAATTGGACTGAGACTTCACATTGTCTACGTTATTGAAGAGGAACCGAAGAGCACGTTATCGAATTAATAATATTCAATGATGTATTAAATTTTATGAATATGTATTGAAAACATTAATTTCCCTAAAAAAAGATTGTAAATATTTTCAATCTTATTTCACTGACAGGAGTGCAGGTGATTATACAACATAACATTGTCATCCCAATCACTCGAGGTTGACCGCAGGAATCCAGGTATGTGGAACATCGCGTACAACTCTATCCTGCACTTTAAAGACATCTTGAATCATTGTTGCCGCATCCAGAACTAGCAGATAACACTACTGTTTTAGCTTTTCACGGGAACAGTGATAGCTTACGTAGGAGAAGCAGCAGCTTAAAATTTTCTTTTAAGTGTTACCATCTCTAGAAAATAATATATTAAGAAAAGGTAAAATACTCACATAAAATATTATTTAAAGGGGAGTAAAGTAAGCTGCACTATTATGTGAACAAAAGCCATCGTTGAACTAGCACGTGCAAAAGCCACCTTCGCTTCCAAGTAATTGCAGATCACATGACCAGGTTACCTGGCTAAACGCATAAAAGGATAAGACTCCAAGAGTTCCGGATGTTTGTCATAAGAAATCACCATCAAGACTACATTAGTGCAAAAAGGAAGAGCAAGAAGAAGCTCTATATGCCTCTACCTCCATAAAACAGACCTGATCCAGTCCCCGGAGAAAACACTCGCCATTTCTTCGATAGAATCTCCCTCAAGACTATAGAACGACGTCATATTCACGATCAACAAAGGTTTGAAATATTTTGGATTGATAAGTGTAACCATTTTCTCTGCGTCTAAAACTTAGACACGCAACAAGGAAATTAGTGGCGCAGCAATTATATCATCTAATATCGCCTGTATTTGTATCTTTATGTTATTATATTATATCTTTGGCTATGTATTTGTATTCGCTATGTACCCTAGTTTAGATAGATTTATACTAATTAAACTCTTGTTTAGTTTTAATCTGTCTACCTGTCATTACTTGGCTCCCATCGAAATACCCACTGAAAGTATTTGGCCTCTTAACCATCCGACGACAATGTGGGCGGGTTTTACCAACCCGTGACGATTAAGTGACAAGTGGGAAATCCCCTTTTGCCCCCGGCTTCTCACGTATTAGTGTCTACAGAGTGGAGTCTGATTTGCTTCTATTTACAGAATCACACATATTGGTTTGCAAGAGTGGGGTGTTCGAAGGTGGAGCCTTTCACCAGGAGTTTCGATAGGCGTCCGTCGAAGATAAAACCTGTCTAAACCGAAACCGGTTTAGACAGGTTTTGGTTACAATAAAGTTTTCGGATTTTAGGATAGTTATTACTTTTTCTTCTTGCCACACTCAATTAACCGAGCATAGTTAGCTTGTTTTCCGAGAAAAGTGGAGGAAAACCCTCGAGCCACGCTGGGCAGAATAGAAGGATTAGTATCTTTGCTTCCCTCATTTGAAGAATCTTGCGGCATGGATTAAGGCACAAATGTTTGCAATAGCGAAGTTAAATCTCACTGGCATAGCGCGAGAATTCTCACAAAAGGATAGAAAAATTAAAGGGGTCGAGGATTATAAGGAATTTAAACGAATAATGACTGAACGTTTTGAACGGTAGCCATTTTCGTTCTGTCTAAATAAATTTTATGCATGTGTACAACCAAGGACGTGACTGTGTAAATGTATGCCGTCTGCCTCGAGGCCTTAGCGATGGAAATAGAAATTAAACAGACAAGCACGTTTGTAAGACGTGAATCTATTAGTGTTTTTAGACACTAGCCACTATGAGCATCTTCATCTAATTCACTATTAAATTTTTAAAAATATTTTTATAAAGATTTGTTAATAATTTTCAGTTTTCTCACATTGCATGGATGAACTATTTTTGATGTTCGTGTAATGAATTCTTAAATCATAAAGCGATTCAGCGCGAATTATTAGAATTGCGTATGTTATTAATCTTTCGGAATATTCTTTCATTATACATCATTTGATTCGTGGAGTTACTAAACAGTTAACGTCTTAATATATACAGTAGTTTAATTACACGAATTTAAACTAACGTTTAACAGTATCCACCCTACGAATCTGCTGTCCCTCAATTGTAAGAGAACGTAACCCAAAATCAATCTAAGAATTAAATAAATAAATAAAAATAAATAAATAAATAATTCTCGCCTTTATATTATTCTATTTTTAATAAACAAAATTAATACAAAATACTTTCCTTATATACTAACTTGGTTAAAATTAAATAAGAAATTGAAGTTTAATAAGAAAATAACGAAGAAAAATAAATTTTTGAAGTAATAAAACTGCCAATTTGAAGAGGAAAATTAGCGAGTTTGCAAGTATTCCCGATTACTTGCGTAATTACTATGACGTTAGATTTCATTAAAGATAAGTAAAAGGAAAGTGAATCAGTTTTAAAAATAAAAATATAAATCACTTACAAGGTTTGACTGTAGTGACTCACTCAATTATAAATATTCATGCTGATGAATTATTTGAAGGTTATCTTACCAACACTTGAAATTTTTGTGACCTGTATTTTATTAAATATTAATGAGGAATTTCATCCTAAATTTAATCTGAGGGCATTAAAAGGCCCATTTAATTAATCATATCCGACAGTATTTTGGGCAGGTAAAATAAATTTTTGATCCGGACTGTTTCTTCTGAGTGGCATGTTTCTTTTTCTCTCTTTCTATCTATCTCTTAAATATTAAATTATATATATATTATTATTTATCTGTGAAAAGAGAAAAGTATACACCATTATAATGGCGTAAACTTTTCTCTTTTTACAGAATTAATTGTTTATTCCTAACAAACTGGAAATAATCCGCATGAATAAACACAAAAACATTGAAACTGTGATACTATCTCAAAATGTGTAATTTTTATATAAGAAATAGAATTTATATGGAAAACGCCACGTTATACAAAGAAGAACAATTCGTGCTATGTTTTAAAAGTAGATTGTATCAAATATTCTTATTAACTTTATTTTTTCGTAAAATTTATAATATTATCACGGTGTAAACGTTTGTTTTCTTGTTTATTGACGAGGAAAATTTTGAATATGTTAGAAAAAAAAACCACTAATTCTGTGAAAAGAGGAAAGGCCACGCCGTTTATGCAATACGAACTATATTTATACAATAGAATTGGAAAAGCACAAGTGATTATAATCTATAAAATGAAGTTTAAAAATTGCAATTTGATTGAAGATTAAGGAAACATAACATTTGGGCGACGTGCCAAGAGTCACTCCATCCGGGAGAAGTTAGTATTGGATACTTTTCGCTTTTCAGGTGTTAGACAAACGAAGGAAACTTCGAAAACCTCACGTATCCATCCGTAAGTGGCGAGTCAAAACTCTCGTAAAGCTATCAGTGGTTTATCTTCTTCGCCATTTCAAGGCAATAAAGGTATGAATCTTTGCGTATTGTTGTTTTGAATACAATTGTCTCCAGAAATTAAAAAATTTTCAACTCTTATTACTCTCGTGCCTAATAGAGCCTATTTCAGAGCTCGCAATTTTATTTCGGTAACGCTTACTATGTTTCGATATGGAATTGTTAGAGTTGGCCATTTGGACAAAGTCTTGATAGACTTTCTTACTGTTTTGTTAACTTTTGTTAAAATTTCTTTAATTTCTAAACTGTTAATAAATAATTGGGTCAGTGGGGGAATTCCGATCAGACTCGTGTCCACATGTTCTATGCTGATCTGTAGCAGGAGACACTTGTACGTTTTTAAATGTTGTCAGGTAGATCTAAGTTTGTTAATTACATATAGATTTTGTACTTAC